CTTGCATTTGCCTGCGTGTCTCTGAGTCTAACCCTTGAAGAGAGGTGGTGGAAGAAGGGAACCCAACACTAGTCTCACTAGCTGTGGGATTTGACCGGAATGAGGAGGGAAAGCGCCTCGCCTGGGGTGTGGACAGAACGTATAGGGTGATTATTACCCTTATCAGCGTTGTCGTCACTGTGGACGAACGAGAGACACCCCCTCCCTCCCAAAGCCAGTGATTGCGCCAAAGCCCTTGCGCGCTAACTAGCAGGTGACGCTGTCGCTGACGACCAGCTAGGGCGGGGATGGAGGGTGGCAAGAGGTAAGGGAAAGAGGGAGTGTTCCGGTCCGTGGAGGGTGAGAACTCTCCTGAGAGCCCCCGCAACAAGGGCAGGAGGCGCCCTCTGACCCTCACTCCCTGGGGACGCATACTAGCGCGCGCCGCGTCCTCAGGTGCTCCGGGCTTCCCCGCGTCACCCGTAGCCAGGGTGCCCCCCGCGACGCTGCCATTCATTCCTCCTACACTGCAAGAGCGCGCCTGCCTCCAGGGCTAGGGAAACCGCGGGGCGCGGCGGACGCTCTGGGTTCGTGTTCTGGCGTCAGCAGTGGGTCTGGGGTTTATGGGGGGGGGTCTGCTCTGGTGAGCTGCGATTGTAGCGTTACAAAGACCCCTCCTAGGACTCAGGAGACAAAGACACAAGGACCATAGATCAGGGACGAAAAATGCAGACACATATAGAAAGTCACACAAATGGAGAGACGACGTATAGATACACACACAGAAAGGCAGTGAGACGAACAGACCCTGAGGAACAGCTGGAGATGGGCCGAGCAGCTAGGATACGAGAGCGCGCCAACTGCGAGGGCACCACTCACAGGCCAGAGCTCTTCCCGCGCTCCTGCGGGTTTGCGCCTTCCGCACTCTTCGCGGGAACCTGCCCTCCTCCGATCGCACTTCTGTCTGTTCTCTCGATTGCCGGCCTAGCGGCCACCTTCGAACTCCAATACAATATGCCACTTTTCGGCCTTCGGCTTCCAGTCCCCCTTGCACTCCTCTCCTAGCCTTGGTGTCGGATCCTCCCCTTTTCCTCTAGGTACCAGGCTCGCTCCCGATCTCCGTCGGGTCACGCCTCTCCCCGCTAGCTCTCGCCCTAGTTGGAGGATATGGTTCCCCCAGACCCACGTGCGGCCCACTCCCAGGCGCTACGCGGGAACCGCCCACTGTTGCTCCTTTCCCTCTCGGGATAGCTGGCCGCCCTCTAGCCCCTCGGCCCCGCCTCTTTCCCCTGGCCGGTGCCCGCCCCGCCTCCACCGCCCCGCCCGCCGTTCTCTGCGGCAGTCGGGCGCTCATCGTCATTCCGCTCTCGCTGCCGCCGCCGCCACCCCCGCCCCCCGCGCACTACCCCCGCCCCCGCCCGGTCCCCGCCGCCGCCGCCTGCCCAGCGGCCCGGGAGGCGGAGGCGCGGGGGAGGAGGCCCCGCTTGGCTCCGCAGTCCCGGATGCTGCATGACTTCATCCTTCCGCCGGCTCCCCTGCTGAGCTAGGGCCGGTCCGGCAGCTAGCCCGCCGCCCGTGCCCCGCCGCAGTCCCGCGCCCGCCCCGCGCTCACTCCGCGCCCGCCATGTCCGAGATCCTACCATACAGCGAGGACAAGATGGGCCGCTTCGGAGCAGATCCCGAGAGCTCCGATCTCTCCTTCAGCTGCCGCCTGCAGGACACCAACTCCTTCTTCGCGGGCAACCAGGCCAAGCGACCCCCCAAGCTGGGCCAGATCGGCCGAGCCAAGCGAGGTACGCGGCCCGGGCCCGGAGTCGCCGCCTGACCCAGAAACCCTCTGCCGGGCGTCCGCCCGCTGTCGTTCCCCGCCAAAGTGGCCACAGCTCTTGCCGCAGACCAGCGCAGCCAGTTGCTCTCCCGCCCGGGATTTTTTTGGGGGGTGGATACCCCGCTGCAGTGTTGTCCCCTTCTTTCCCTCTCCCGGGAACGCAGTGTCCCGGATTCAATGCCACCTCTGGAAGCAGAACCCGGGCACCTAGGCGAGGGGGAGGGGCCGGTCGGGGTATTTGGGGCTGCCTGGAAGTGGGAACGCTGGATGATGGGTCGATTCTTGGAATCTAAGGTTCAGTCGGTGGGATGCAACGAACCTTCGAGTTGAAAGGGGCGTCCGACTGGAGGACAGGGAGGCTGGGGATTCGGTGGTCCTGCTTGTTTGCATGGGGAAGGGGATTCTGTTGGTGCCAGGATCGGAAGAGGGATTGTAGCGGCGAGAGGTTCAGATGGGGGAAGAGTTGGACTAGCTGGGTGTTCCATTTGGGCCCCGTTTGAGGAGGGGATTCTGTTGCAGAAGGGGGGTTCTATGAGCAAGAGGTCTCTGATCGGCCCAGATGGAGGAAAGCTCAGGCGGCGGGAGGGTTCGCACTGGGAGGTAGAATACTGGAGCCTTTGGAAGAGGGGCGTTCCATCATAAGGGAAAGGAGAGGAGGCTGTGGAAGCGAGGCTTGGCAGCAGGTCAAGTCCACAGGAGAGTTTGCATGGGGAGGGCACGGTGGTACTGGGTTCGGAGGGGCGTCGTGGGCTCATAGGCTTTAGTTGCGAGGACGCGGGGCCCACTCTCGTCGCCGCTCCCCGAGGCCGCGCGGCTGACGCGCTTTCTCCCTGCGCAGTGGTGATCGAGGATGACCGGATAGACGACGTGCTGAAGGGGATGGGGGAGAAGCCGCCGTCCGGAGTGTAGACGCGCCGGCTCGGGCGGCGGGCTCCGGGCCCAGCCCCGCAGCGGCCAGGAGCGCGGGCCGGCGATGCGACTGCCGGCGCCCCCCGCCCCGGCCCCGGCGCCCGCGGGCGGGGGCTGCAGGGCCGCGCCGCCGCCGGCTCAGTGTCGCTGCCGCCGCTGCCGGCCAATCCGGAGCTGTCCGCTTCAGCACCACAGCGGCGGCGGTAGCGGCGGCGCGCACCTTCCCGGAGCCCGCAGTCGCGCTCATGCACTTTAGAACCTCGGGCCGCAGCCCCACCCCGCACACCGGAACGGACAGAGAGACCCGCGGTCCCCAGCCCCCGGCCCGCCCCCTCCCGCACGGCTCCCCTGCCCCGCCCCCCTCCGGCCAGTCTGGTCTGCAGACCCGGGCGGCTGCGGCGTCGGACTGCGGCGGCCAGGGATGTTTGGCTGCGTATTTGCATGAGCTTCCCACCCACCTGAGCCCAGCCTTCTGGGCACTTCCTCACCCTCACCCGTGTCTGGCGTGACCCCAGCCTCTTTCTTAAGGGACTTCCTCAGCACATTTGTATTTTTATATCCGATTCTTTGTTTACTGGCTCCGCTCATGATTCATGCCCTCCCCCACAGCCTCCGCCATGCTCTTCTGCGCCTGGCAGATAAGACGGGTGTTGAGGCTGGGGTGGGACAAGCCCCCAACATGATAACCAACCACATGGCAGGTCTGCCTAGACCTGACTCCAGGAGGCTCTCTGGCAGACCCCTCTCTCCCAAGGTATCACCTAAGGGCCCAGATTTCATTTTACCTTGGACCCTAGTCTTATCCCTGGGAACCCAAATGGGGACTGCTCTGCACCTTTGGATGACACCTGTGGACCTGGAGATGTTCCCAACCCAGAGGTGTCCTTTGTAAATGTCCATCCATCCTCACATGTACCAGGAGTGTGTGAATAAACACAGACCTCCCTGTATGTTTGTGTGTGTGGCCGCTGCTTCAGTCTGCTCAGGAGCCAGGCCAAAATCAGGGAGCTGGTTCTTGAAATTTCAGGTGTAAGCTGTTGGTGGGGAAGGGTTACCAAGTAAACACAGGCAGGCTAACCTGGCTGGGGAACATCATTATGTTGTAGCCTCCTTGGGTACACACACAGTCTAAGCAGGACAGATCACCAGTACTGGGGCTAGAACTGGGATCAGAAGCATAAAGCAATCTAGACTCAATGCCTGCAGCTTCCTGTGGATAAATCCAGATTGGATGGGGTCTCCAAAGCTGACTAGTGTGCAAAGGGGTTGTGCTGAGCTTTATCCCAAGGATGGTTCAGATAGCAGAGGAAGAGGTACAGAACCTAGCAGAAATCTGAGGAACCCAAGAAGGAAGCCAGAGACCTGGAATCTGGGGACTTAATCTGAACCCAAGCTGTATTGGGTTTGATCCTACCAGCTCTATCTTATGCAGGAGGCCTCAGATATTAGAGCATCTTGGAACCAATCCCCAGTCCTGAGCCAGGAATTCCAGCATCCTAAGGAGCCCAGGGCAGAATGTCAGGGAAGGCTGGGGGGACCACACTTTTGGTCTCACAGCTGAATGGCACTGAGGAAATCTTCATGATCTGAGTCCTGGAGGAAGCAGGGTGAAGTGGGAGGACTGGGGGATGAGAGGATCTGGGTCCCCAGAGCCAGCTGGGTCATACTGAGCTTCCCGCCCTTGTGCATGAGGTAGAGGTGGAAGTGGAAACCGCTGCCGTAGGTTGCATGCCTCAAAGACCAGCCATAGCGGGCTTGGGCATAGTGTCTGGTCCGAAAGTGGGGGCCTGCAGAGGTCATGGAGATGAACCGGCCTCCAGGGACCAGCACCCGGCTCACCTGCAAGGCAGACAGAAGCCATCAGCAATGAATCATCTCCAGATTCTCAAAGGTCAGTGCTGCCCCAGATGCTACTCCTTAACCTCTAGTCAAACCTCAGGCTTTCCACAACAAAGAGTAAGCCCCCTCCTCTGCCCTGGGCTGTCCCATGGGATTACAGTCACATTCTAGACAGGAAGGAGTGTGGGAGTACTCACCTTGCCAGGCTGTCACCTGTCTGGAACCTGGCTGCTATCTCATCCTGTGGCAACTCAAGTAGCCAAACATCGGCTTTTGTGGGCCTGGCCTCTACAGCCCCCTCTAATCTTGACCCCGTTTAATTCTCCCCTTCTTCAGAGAACCATACTTCTGAGAGTGACCCATCACCTGCTCCAAACCAGACCTCCTGGCTACTCAGGTCTTTCAGTCTTCAGCCCTTCATCCCTACCCCTTGTGGCTCCCTCACCTCACTCAGCACCTGGTCCACAGTGTGAACACCTTCAGAAGATACAGTCCAGGGATCTCGCTCCCCAGCTAGCAGGGCATCCAGTGTGCCCTTCTCAAGCACCACATCAAAGGAGCCACTGGGGAAGCCCAGTGCCCGTGCATCCATGGTCTCCCAGCGTAGTGTGGGTATGTGAGCATAGCGCATCTGCATGGCAGCCACCACTACTGATGAGTAATCCACACTGGTCACGTTAGGGAAGCCTCCAAGAAACAGCTCATAGCTCAGGGCACTGTTTCCGCAACCTAGCATGGGGTGGGATGGGTGACAAAAGGGTTAGGTTAGCTTTGGTTTTCACCTCCCCATGATTATTAATCCACTCTTATTTATTTATTTATTGGTGGTACCGGGGTTTAAACTTAGGGCCTCAAACTTGCTAGGCAGGTGCTCTACCACTTGAACCATACCCCCAGGCCTTTTTGCTTTCATTATTTTTGGGATAGGATACCTCAGTTTTGCCCTGGCCAGCCTGGACCACAATCCTACTTATGCTTCTCATGTAGCTGGATGACAGGCATGCCACCACACCCAGCTATTGGTTGAGATGGGTGTCTCCTGAACTTTTTGCCTGGACTGGCTTTGAACCAACCTTGATCCTCCTGATCTCTACCTCTCAAATAGCTACGATTATAGGTGTAAACCACTGTGCCTGGCCTATTTGTTCACTCTTGGCCCATTTTTTCTTTGTCCAAACCCTCCAGTAGGTATGAAGAGGCAATAGGGTACAGAAAAGAGCATGAGTCTGAATCACACAGATCTTGACACAAACCCTAGCTCTATCATTCCTAGTTATGCGGACTAGGACCAAGAACCTAGATTTCCTATTCAGAAAAATGATGATAACAATCAATGCCCAACCCACATGCAGGATTTCACACACTAAATTTAAGAATGAGAGCATTGGTTGGGCAGCAGTGGCTCATATCTATAATCCCATCTACTTGGGAGGCAGAGATTGGGAGGATCAAGGCCAGCCTGGGCAAATAGTTTGCAAGACCCCCATCTCCAAAATAGCCAGAGCAAAATGGACAGGAGGTGTGGCTCTTGTGGTAGAGTGCCTGCTTTGCAAGCTTGAAGCCCTGAGTTCAAAACCCAGTCCCACCAAAAAAAAAAAAAATGAGAACATCTGGGGAGAAGCTGAAGAAGGAACTTGGAACTTAAGAGTTCAAATTTGTGGATTCTGCTATCCCTCCCTATTGCTTCTTGGCCTTTTGGCTAAGATCAAGTGTGCTATCACTCCCTGGTCACACGCCATGGAAAATTATTTGACTCCTGGGGACTGTTTCCTCAATTTAGGATGGTATATACTGGCATCATTAGGACCATATGAAAATTAGCCAAGTCTCTGACCCTTTAGAGGATTTCAGAAGATATCAACCCTGGGAAGGCTTATGATCTTGCTTTGATTTCCAAGGCAGAATTGATAAGTAAAGGAGAAACTAGGTGGGGCAACAGTGGAACTGATCCTTTGTATGCTTCATATCCATACTGGGCACTACATATAGGACTGTGCTGATAAGTAAGTGCCTGACATTGAAGAGCTTATGCTCAGGTGAAAAGAACAACTGTGAAATCAGGCAACTGCCATATAATGCTGTGAGTGTTTCCTTCTTTCTTTTTGAGCCGGACTTCAATCTGCAGCCCAGGATGACCTCAAATTTAAGATTCTCCTGCCTGTACCTCCCGAGTGCTGGGATTGTAGGCATGCACCACCACACCCAGCTGCATGAGTGTTTCAATAAGGACAAGCTGTGGGATCACAAAGGTGAGCCCTTGACCTTACCTAGGTAGGTCAGTCAAGAGTTCAACCAAGCAGTGTCTTAGAGAAAAAAAAAAAAAAAAAAAGCACTCTGGTGAAAGTGCCTAGAATGTAGTCTCAAAGAGGGCAGGGTCAGGTTACAGAGGAGGGTGGACATTAGAAGAATGGACACGGATCTATCTAGCCCAATAGGCATGTCTGCTTTAGAAGATCCAGTGCCTCTTCCAGACCCTCCTGGGGCCAGGCTCAGGATGAGAATGAGCTGGATGATAGCTCTTGGCAGCCCCACAGGGAGATCCCCAGCTCTTGGAAATAGTCTGCTTTTAATCCTCATCTACTTCCCTAAGAGGATCACAGGATCAGTTGTTGGGATAGCCCTAATCTAGCAAGGTTTGGCACCTGAACAGGGCAGCCAGGGACAGCTGGCCAGTCCTTAGCAGTCACATCTCATGCTCCCACCAGGCCCTGGGGCTCGAAGAGAGCCTGGGAAAACCTAAGCATGCTTCCCCCAGCTGCAGCTACAATTGGGAGATACAGTACAAGAGATGGTGGGAGAGGGGTTAGCCTATGCTAAGTAGGAGACTCTAACTCAGTCCTGGGCTTAAATTCCACAGGGTTCTCTGATACACTATTACTTGGTACCTGACCTCTTATGCCTGCAGAGCTCTGCTCAACTCCAGACAAACCTAAATTTCCTTCCTTTGTTCCCCCTGGTACTGGATGGCATCTTCATCCTTCCTAAGATGACAGGAGAACAGAACCTAACCAAAGGGCACATTATGCTTACAAAGCAGTGATTTCTAATTTCTGCCTCAGTGATTTGGAGCCCACAACCAAGACAGGGATTTGGAAAGCCATTGCCTGTCAAGGTGTGGGGAGGCAGAGCCCTGGAGAACTGATCCAAGTCCAAGAACATACTGCATAGAGAAACAGAGCTAGGAAGATGCTAACTCTACACCAAGAGACTGAGATCTAAGTCTGAATGCCAATTCACTAATTTAGAACAGGAAAGATAGCCAGCATGGGGACCGGACAGCTGAATCCTCTGGACCATCCCTTCTCTCTATGGGAAACTGGAAGCCAGATTATGATCAGATTGCTAGAGCATGGAATCAAACAAGGACAGAGAATCAGGGAAGTGTAATGACAGCAAAGCTGAGAACAGTCATCCATATGCATTCACCTGCCAAAAAATATTCTAGTCATAGCGATCAGACACACAAATGCTCAGGCAGTGTACACTGTTCTCGGAACAGTCCTGGATAAACTGTCTCCCTCTCAATTCCAGTAATAATAATTAAGGCTTGCGGGGGGCAGGGGGGTAGCTCAGTAGTACACCTTGCCCAGTATGCAGAGGCCCTGGGTTCCATCCACAACAAAAACCCAAAAATCCAAAAAACACCAAAAGTGTGGTAATAATAATGAGAGCTAATGGTCATTTTACACCAGGTACCATGATTAGCACTTTATATGAATCGTCTCCCTTTGTTTTCACGTATATCATATAGCAAATACTATTATTACTATTCTCCGCCCCCCCCCCTTTTTTTTTTTTTGGCAATACTGGGGATTGAACTCAGGGTCTCCTGCTTGCTAGGCAGGTGCTCTACTACTTGAGCCACACCCTCAGACCTTTTTTGCTTTAATTATTTTTTGGATAGGGTCTTGCGTTTTGCCTGGGGCCAGCCTTGGACTGCAACCCTCCTACCTATGCCTCCCCCATAGCTAGGATTACAAGTGTGAACCACCACACCTGGCTTGTTTGTTTTTGCCTAGGCTGGCCTTGAACAGAAATCCACTCTATCTCTGCCTCCCAAATAGCAGGGATAAAGGCATGAGCCACCACATCTGACCTCATTCCCATTTTTGAGATGACAAAATTGAGGAAAGTGGATAAGAGTATTTCAAAAATCATATAGACAGAGGTACAGCCAGAATTTGGACCCCAATCTGTCTCACTCTAAATCCAAAGCTCTTAAACCACTATAACCAACTACCTTCCAGTTCTCAAGAGGCTCACCCACCTTTGGCAGTGACATTCCATCTTTAGTTATATCAACATGACTGCTAAACAAAACTAAATAAAAACAAAACAAAAAACCATGACCGCTAAACTGTAATTAACGGCGAAATCATTGCATTGTTTCAACAGAGGTTAGACAGCTCTCTGCCCATCTGCCTGGGACAACAGTAGAACTAAAAAATTATAGAGTCAGAAGATATCCTACTTCACCAAAAGTATGAAAGCCTGATGGTAGAATACACAATCAATGTACTCACCAGATCTCCTTGGGGTCTCTTAGCAATTTTTGTATGTCCCTGGGCTTTGTTGTGTGTTTGCTTCTAACAGTGTGCATCTGTCACTCTTCAGGCCGAAAATGCCCTCAGGGAATCTTTACCTGAGACCAGTTTTCCCCATCCTTCCAATTTCTCTTGGGAGCTCTTATCTGACAAGTAACAGTTATGAATGTTCATCTCAGGATTTACTTCTGGGGGGCCCAACCTAAGACAATGACCAACAGCAGGGTGTTGTTGAATCCAACTCACCACCTCTTTTAGTAGATGGTTTTACTGAAGCCGAACTCTTTACTTCTGTAAAGACATGTCTATGGTCGTGGACATGTCCATAACTGCATCTCCGCTACCACAGTAGAACCGAGTAGCTGTGATACAGACTGCAAAGCTTCAAATATTTACCATCTGGCCAGGTTCAGATGGTAGGCCATGTCACCCTAACCTAGAGTAAGTCTCTTTAGTACTTATCACTCACTTTTATATGTTGTCATAAGGATTAAATAAATTAGAAAGGGGCCCAGCACATTCGCTGGCACCTACTAGGTGCTGAACTTATATTTGTTGAGGCAAAATGCAACACAAAGGACTCCCCAAATTGTGGGTCCTTTTCTTTGATCTTAAAGATCTAAGCTGTCTGGAAAGCTTTTAGTTTAGAATTTTAGACTTTTCACCCCTCCTATCTAGAAAAGGATATCTCCTGGTCCAGCAGATTAAGACAGTATTATTCTGCCAACCACCAGTATGACAATCAGCTGTGAAGCTGGTTGAAGATAGATTCCTGGAACCCATCTCAAACATCCCAGGAATTAGAATCTCAGGAGGGGCCCAGTTTTCCAGGTGATTCTGATACAAACTAAAGCTTGCAAAACAGCTCTATGGCAAACCTATAAATAAATGAAATAGTTTACAATCAAAAACTCAAGAAACTTTCCCTATGAAGGGGAAGAGGTTCTGTGGGGAACACACTTCTGACTCTGCTTCGGAGTCCCAAGTTCTTTACCATTAGGTCATACTTCCTTTCTAGTCCTAGTAATGTTCTACTTCCCAAACTGAGTAGGGTGGACACACACACAGACACAATTTATACCTTACAAATATACTGTATGTATATGAGATGTTCCTTTTATATGTATCAAATGTTTCACTTAAATACAGAAAAGCTTTTACAGAGCAAAATAAAAATAAAAACTATAATCGGAAGGAAACTCATTCACTAAGGCTGCCAGTGGGAGAGAACCACCAAGAGAAGCAGGGGGTCTTTAGAAGTCCAATGCGCTATCCATTGTGCAGCCGCAGCGGGACTTAGAGCCCCACATCTTCCCTTTGGGAAATCACATCAATTTCGGCTGCAATCTCACTTCTGACCTCAGAGGGCGCTGTTCTTACCTTCACTTCACACAGGGCTCAAGACCAAGTTTCAGTTAGGGCTCAGAATGTAATAACTCCCTCTAAGCGACAATGGCTCGTGATGCCCATTGGCGCAAAAGGAAACGCGCAGGACAGTATGCTCCAAGTGTCGGTACGTGCCTTTACCACCAGAACTTACAGTACCATTTCTAGAAATGAAACTGTAGCTCACAACAGATCCATGACTTGTCCTAAGTTATACAGCCAGTTGAGCGTTGGAACTTGGGTCCTGTGGGTTCTCCAGAGCCTGAGGTTACTACCTCCAAAGAGTCCGGCACGGGGTCCTGGGTCAAGCCCCACGCCACTCCTAGCTAAATACAGCTGGATTCTGAAGGTACTAGATCTTGGTTCCCGACTGCGGAGTCCCCTTAGCAGGGCCGGTGGGCGAGGTCGGACCCGCCAGCAACCCCTGGGCGGACAGTGCCGTGACTACCCACCTAGCACGAGGATACGGTCCTCGGGCTGCAGTTCCGGCTCCAGGAGGGCCCGGAAGGAGGAGAAGTCTCCGAACCACTCGTAGGGGGCGGAGTCGGCCGCGTCTCGGTAGCGCTGGTCCCAGTACTGGACCTCGCAGTACTCGAAGTTCCGCTCGGGTAACTCCGGCCGGGGCGCCGCGGCCCGCGGGGAGGCCATGCTCTCAGCTGCCGGGTAGCCAGAGCTCGGCCTAAGTGGCCAATCACGACGGCGGGAGGTGGGAGGCGGGGCCCTGTGTCTCCGCCCACCAACTACAGTTGCTCAACACAAACACGTGGAACTTCCGTCTTCTGCTAAGCGTTCTGTCGAGAATCCTCCGGCTGGAGAAACCGCATTACCCACATTCTGAACCCTCTGGAGCCACCCACGAGGTCCACACTCCTGGTGTCAAAGTCACACAGGCTCATTACTGCGTCCTCTCACTTGTCATTTTGAACAGCTCCTTCCGTGAAGAAGCCTGAAAATTAATTATTTACTTTTCCCCAAGCCATTTTTGAGTACCCGGAAGGCTCCGAAGGGAAGCTAGAGGAGTGTAGGCAGGAGCTTTGTCCTCCAGCACGAACATAAAATAATCCCAGCACAGGCGAGGCGGGATCTGGCCTTGGAGGGCTGGGGTCAGGCCTTGTTTTTCTGGGCAAGTGTTCGTTTTACATTACCGCCTGTGTACCCGGAGCTGGATGTATACTGAGAAGTAAAATTTTGTCCTTATTCTTACGGAGAGTGTAGTCTGCCGGAGGATACATGTAGTAGATAGCATTTTTAGTGGCGTAAACAAGATTCTGGCTATTCGGGTCAGCGTTTAGTCTGGTGGGGTTAGTTTGGTTAGGTTCTGCTCCAGCGCAGGGAGCGGAGGGAGCGGAACCTAAGTGTCGAAGGATTGGGTTTCCGGGATGACCCGCCCACAAGCGTAGCACACCATCAAGATGGCGGCTGGGCTGCGGAAACGCGGCCGGCCGGGTTCCGCGGCCCAGCCGGCGGGACTCTGTAGACAATGGCTACAACGCGTCTGGCAAGAACGACGCATACTGCTGCGGGAGCCGCGCTACACGCTGCTGGTGGCCTCCTGCCTCTGCCTAGCAGAGGTGGGCATCACCTTCTGGGTCATTCACAGGGTGGCATGTGAGTGCGCCGAAGGGGAGTGGAGGGGAGGAAGGGAGACCCGCATCCTTGACTTAAACTGGTTCCCAGATCCAGAACCCAAGACTAGACCCCGGAACCACTTATTCATCATTCGCAGACCCATTTCGTTTACCCGAGCCCCAAGCCTGCTCGTCAGAAATCTTAATCCATATTCTGTGACGGGAGAGGTTGACCCTACAGATTAGGCTTCTGCCCTGACATACAGCCTGCCAGGCTAAGAAAGCAAAACCAGCCTAGAAGTCAGTTCGGGACCAAAGTTAAGGTGCTGCTGCTGTTGCTGCTGCTTGTCTCTGTGTCTTTGTGGACACGTCACTTCCCCTCCCAGATTTCAAGGGTTTTTTTTTACATCCGTTTAACTCTGAGGTCTTGAAAGTCCCTTTCCAACAATGGCATTTTCTGATTCTTTGAGTTCATGAGGCATTATCAGGTTGCTCCTTTCTAGGCTGTAGACACTGGGTTTAGGCTACCAGGACTCTTGCTGAACAAGATTTATTCAACACATATTTATTGATTGTTTATGTGCCTAACATTATTATGCTAGGTGCCAGAGGTATTTACTCTTGGACCTGAACAAAGATAAGTTGGCAGGCAATTGCAATGCATCATACTCGTCATGATGGCAATAAGACAGGATGATATAAAGGACATAAGAAGGCCAGATCCAGGTGGGTGTGGTACTGCACACCTGTAATTTCAGCACTCGGGGCTGGTGCTGAAGGAACTTTTGTTAGGGAAATATAAGTTCTGGACTCAGAAGTAATCAGACTATCTGTCCTCTTCCAGACACAGAAATTGACTGGAAGACCTACATGACCCAGGTGGAAGGTGTCATCAATGGCACATATGACTATACACAACTGCAGGGTGACACTGGACCTCTTGTGTGAGTAGGGTTAGAAGGTTAAGGGATAATGTGAAGGGTTGGCTGGATACTATAGAGGTTGTCCTGGCCTAGGCTCATATTCCCTCTCTTCCAGCTACCCAGCTGGCTTTGTGTACATCTTTATGGGGCTATACTATGCCACTGACTGGGGCACTGATATCCGCATGGCCCAGAACATCTTTGCTGTGCTCTACCTGGCCACCTTGCTACTTGTTTTTTTGATCTATCACCAGACCTGTAAGGTGAGTCCATTCTACCAACAACAGAGGGCCTCAATCTGGGAGGGTGGTGGTGCAGGTAGCTCACATTTGGGGAGCTGACCTTGTTCCCCACTGTGCCCTCCCATCAGGTACCTCCCTTCGTTTTTTTCTTCATGTGCTGCGCCTCATACCGTGTCCACTCCATCTTTGTGTTGCGGCTCTTCAATGACCCAGTGGCCATGGCACTGCTCTTCCTCAGCATCAACCTCTTCCTAGCCCAGCACTGGAGCTGGGGCTGCTGCTGTTTCAGGTCAACACCCGTCCCTTCTCACTCTCCCTCTCACTTTTGGCATTTCCTTTTTCTCCCCAATTTTCTACAGCAGAGAAAGAGGCAAAATATGTAGGTCACTTGGGACGTCACCAGGCAAATCAAAGATCTGTAGAAAGTTTCTCTTCCCCTAAAACCTCACACACCCTAGCTCATCCTCTTTCCTCCAGACAGCTTGTTGGAGTTGGTCCTTGGACTTTGTAAATATATCACTCAGTCTACAGTGATATACAGTATTCAGTCAATATGGGCATAGGTGTCTCCCTCCAGCCTTCTCCCAGCCTACCTTACCTTCCCCCATTAGTTCTGAGTGTGGACCTCATCCTAGAGTTTGCTGGCATAGCGAGAAGAGATGCTGTGGAGATGGTGGGTATATCTTTGTGTGGGGTACATGCCCTATAGCTGATCTCTACCCTTCCTCTCTTGCCCACTCCAGCTTGGCCGTCTCTGTGAAGATGAATGTGCTACTCTTCGCTCCTGGATTGCTATTTCTTCTCCTCACTCAGTTTGGCTTCCGTGGTACTCTCCCCAAGTTGAGCATCTGTGCTGGTCTTCAGGTACCCCTCCTTCACCTTTCCTTTCCTGTTGGAAGGGAGGCATCTCATCAGGCCAGTTTCTGTCCCTTGAGACTTCCTCAAAGCTAAGAGATAGATTCTGAGCTGGGCAGCCACCATCTCTGTGCTTGTTTCCATAGCTCTAAAATTAGGCTGTTGAACTATCGAGCCTCTGAGAGGTTTCCTAGCTCTGCCTATTTATGACAGCATTATTACTACCTGCCTCCTCAGCTTTTTTGATGGCAGACTCTGGTCTGAGGTGGCAGGGGAATTAGGGAACTTCTGAGGCCTTCATCCCACTCCTGTTACCCTTGGCAATTAGTGCGAAGGCTGAGCAGGCATTGGCAGCTCTGCTGACATCACATCCATCCTTAGGTGGTGCTGGGGCTGCCCTTCCTGCTGGAGAATCCCATCGGCTACCTATCCCGCTCCTTTGACCTTGGCCGCCAGTTTCTTTTCCGCTGGACAGTGAACTGGCGCTTCCTCCCTGAGGCCCTTTTCCGGCATCGTGGCTTCCACCTGGCCCTGTTGATTGCCCACCTTGCCCTGCTTTTGCTGTTTGCCCTCTTCAGGTGGCACAGGTAAGAGCCAGACAAGTGCTGTGGGTAGAACTAGGGGAAGGAGGAAAGAGCCTAGGCTTTAGGTACTACTTGGGAAAAATTTTAGGCTTGTGTTTGGCCCACCAATGATGACTTGTTGAGTGTCTGAATGGCTTCTCCCCAGGACAGGGGAAAGTATCCTGTCGCTGCTGAAGGAGCCCTCCAAAAGGAAGAGTCCTCCCCAGCCCCTCACACCCAATCATATCCTTTAAGTCATGGGAAGGTAAGTCTTGTCCTCTGCAGGTGCAGACAAGGTTTTAGGCTTTTGTTCTTGGGTAGCTGATAACCTGGGGAGAAGGGGAGCCCATTCATAGAGCTCCTCTTCTGCAGTCTACACCGTAGCTGAACACCTTACATGTCAAAGCACATTTTATTCTTAATTCTAAATATTGAGTACCATTATGAGTGTTCACACTCTCTGCCTGGTACAATCCTAAGGCTTCCATATAGTCTTACAGTTAAAGCTCACAGACCCTGAGGTAGGGAAGTACTCTTATTATCTTAATTTTTTTGGAAGGTAAAACTAAGGGTTTAAGAGATGAAGTAATTTCTCAGCATCATTGCTACTAAATGAGGGATTCAAACTCATTAGGCTTTATGATCCTAGATATTACTGTTTCCATATTAGATTGGGGAACAGGTCCAGAGAAATTAAGAAATTTGCTCAAGGCATGTATGTAGGACTGCCAAGAGCCAGGGTGCTTTCTGACTCAATCCCTACCCCCAACTTCTTCCGCTTCTGTTCCTGCCCTTGGCCTTAACCATCACATACAGATTGTTTCTACCCTCTTCACTTCCAACTTCATTGGCATCTGCTTCAGCCGCTCCCTCCACTACCAGTTCTACGTCTGGTATTTCCACACACTGCCCTACCTCCTGTGGGCCACGCCTGCACGCTGGCTCACACATCTGCTCAGGTACTGGCTGGAATAACCTGGTAAAATGGGGAGGACTAGGAAGTTCCTCTTCCCAAGACTGACCATAGAGGGTCAGTGTGTAGGACATGAGGAGCCTAAGGGTTGTGGGCTTTGAAACTGGAGCCTCTTTTTCATCTCCAGATTGTTGGTGCTGGGACTCATCGAGCTCTCCTGGAACACATATCCATCCACATCCTGCAGCTCTGCTGCCCTGCATGTATGCCATGCTGTCATCCTGCTGCAGCTCTGGCTGGGCCCTCAATCTTTCCCCAAGAGCATCCAACACAACAAGAAAGCCCACTAAAGTCTGCCCCTTTTCATCTGGCTACTCTCAGGACCCTGGGTAGGATGGGCTCTGTGCCTCTCCCAATAAACCTTGCCAAGTCCACCTCTGTACAACCTCCGTGGAGGTAGTGACAGCTGGTGTCTGGATCAAGCTTTGAGGAGCATGTGCCCGGTAGATAAAGACCTCACTCAGGTAGTCCTAAGAGGCACTTTATTGCATAGAATTTGGGGACTGTGGCTCTCCCCCCCCTTCCACTGTGCTGCAGAGAGCTCAGAACACATGAAGAAGGGCCATGGGGTGGGAGGAAAGGGAAGAGAGCACAGGGCAGGCACTTTTTGTGGGGGGCAAAAGTATTCTAGGGAAAGAATGAGAAGCAGTGGGGGACAGGCTGAGAGCAGCCTATCCCTTCCCAGCACCGAGAAGCTGGCCCTGGGTGGCAGTGACTTGTGAGTATGTTTTGGGTCGCCAGCCCCAGCAGCAGCAGGTAGCCCTCAAACATTTGCCGGGCTGTAGCACAACAAGTGTAGCTGCAGGTTCTGGTCCCAGTGGCGCAGCAGCAGGAAGAGCCCCCGGGCAGCGGCTTTGAGGGCGGCTAGGTCAAGGCCGTCAGGCAGGCTCTGGGCCCGCAACCAGCAATCAGCTTTGGCTGCTGTCAGTTCCCACTCCCCAAAAGCAGCAGCGCAGCGGTGTTCCAACCACGCGAGCGCCACAGCTGTGGCCCAGGAGCGGCCCCGCAGATCTGAGCTGCCAAGCCTTTCTGGCCCCTCCGAGGCCTCAGTATCTGAGCCCCGCCCACTGTCCACCTGGCCTGGACCCTCAGACCCTGAACTAGCGGATGGGCTGCAGGAGGCCGTGGCACTGTCGCCCTGGCCAACACCAGGGCCCAGAAGTGCCCAGGGAGATGAGGCCGAGGTGGGACTGAGACTGGCACGGTGTGCAGCAAAGGGCGATGCGCGACACAGACGCTCTTGCGGGATGCGCACAGCGGCACAGAACGGCGCGTCCAGGCGGAAGGAGCCTGGCGCCTCCTGCAACCGTACCTGAGGAGAGAGGAGGTGGGGGGAGAAGAGAGCTAAGATGGTGCCCTGCCTCTGGCAACACCACCCTCCACCTCCCGAGTCCTCACCAAAGGCAGGTAGTCATGGTCACTGCCTTCACTGTTGCCCATAGTGGCCCTGCCCTGGTCGGGGCTGTAGAGTCTGTGACGGCGGCCCAGGCTGAGCCTAGAGGGAAGCTGGAGAGGCAGGCGATGAGGACCTCCAGTGGGAGTTGTGGGCTCCCCCAAAGCTGACCTGGAGTTGTCATTTTGGTCTAGGTCCCAGGTGCCTGCAGGAAAGCCTCCCTGAAGTGCTGCAGGAGGTCAACCAGTACCAGCGGGTAGTCTTCAGCCCAGCCATGCCCTACCCTTTCCTCACATTTGGGTGATTGATACCTTTAGAGTTGACTTCCGTGGGCAAAGGAGCTACATTTACATGACTTTGAGAGGCAGAAGTGCCTGGGGGTTCAGCTGGCTCTGTGGGGACATAGAGGACAGGGGTCAGGTTTGTCTGGGTGGTGGCCAGAAAGGTGAGAGTCCCACTTGAGAGGTCACCAGTAAGGCTCCTACCTGAGCTCTGCACCTGTAGGGCCCCAGGCAGGACCTCCCTAGTGGTGGCATCTACAGCAACAGGGCAGGTGAAGCAGGAAGGGGCAGAGCTGACTTTACTTGTCTGAAGCGCTCGGAGCCAGGACCTCCGGGCATGGCCTGTGAATCCAAGGAGCAGCCTGCTGAACTCACCCTCTACAGAGGGCTGCACAGCAAGGCAGCAGAATGTTCTAGTCAGCACCTGTCCACTTAAACAGAGTGAACCAGCTCAGACCCAACTTTGTGAAGAACTGGCTAGGCTGAATCCTCAACTCACAGCAGAGCTAGGATCCTCAGCCACCCAGAAACACCCAGAAGAACCTTGCCTATTTTGTTTAGTTTTGTTTTTTTTGGTACTAGGGATTAAATCCAAGGCCTTGCAATTTGCTAGGTGATTCCACTACCACTTGAGCCATGTCCCCAGCCCTGGCCTTGAACTCTTGATCTCCTGCCTTCGCCTCTTGAGTGCTGGGAAGACAGGCATGTGCGACCACACCCAGCGTCTAGTGCCTTTTCCTCTACTTACTTTGACATTGTTCACATTCAGCTTGTTTTTGAGGTAGGATCTCACTAACTGTCCACAGGGCTGGTCTCGAACTACCACCCTCCCAAATGCACCTCCTTGTTGGGATTTCAGGGGTGTATTACCACGCCTGGCACAACTATTACTTTTAATAGGCTTTTCCTGAATGATGATTTGTTTTTATGTTGTGGGCTCCGTTAATTATAGGATTATGTTTCCCTCTGTATTGGCTGCTAGGAAGCTTGTCAGTTTTGGGTCTCATACTTGCAAGAGTAAATAACTTCATGCCATGCATCTTTAATGTTACTTCATTCTCAGTTTCCTTCATTTTCACTTTTTCTCATTGCTCTTAATTTTTTACCGTGTCAATGTGGTGAGCCACCTCAAATTCTTTGTGAACAAACTGAGGACTTGAGAGTGATCACCTGCCCTTGGGCCCTGGCTGGCCCCACTCGCAACTCACCCCGGTCAGCTGTAGTCTCAGCCCCTCCTCGGAGAGCCAGCTGTTCATTGTCCCGGACCACAGAGGCTGCTGTCAGTCGGTGGAGTGCTTGGTCCCATGCAGCTTCTCTTACAGGGGGTGATGGAGGCTGTGAGCCATCCCCAGGCCCCCAAAGTGTCTCCAGCCCAACACCCACCTCCCAGCACATAGGCTGCTCCCCACACAGGGCACGGATCACTACATGACACTGTGGAGCCTGGGGAGGCTGTGGTACTGTTGGGGGTGCTGATTCCCCATTGGGAGACACAGCTGTGAACAAGAAGGGTGGTTCCATCAACATGTCCCAGTCCATTGGTGCTGGGGAGAGCAGGTTTCCTGGAGAGAGAAGATGGCAGGGATATTGGCAATGTGGTACTCTAGGCTCCATTTCCCCGGGCCTCCTTGGTGTCAGCAAATGGAGCTCCTCATCCGACACTTACCTGAGTCATCCAGGCCCTGACCCAACTGTTGGCCTGGCTCAAAGCCTGGCCCGTCTGGTATTGCACCCAGAGAGGGCTGCCGGGGTCGGCCAGGGACTGGGTTTGCCCGTCCAGTGGGGGATGAGAGACTTCGGCCAGCCAGAGCTGCTCTGTGTCTACGGCCCAGCACCTCAGCACTCAAGGTTCCCGCCTGCATGTGAGATGTGGGGTCTCTGGTCAAAGAATATAGAGCTTCTGGCCATAGTACATAAATACACAGCGGCTACATGCCCCTTGTCATCTCACTAGGCTCTCTGTTTCCCACTTATGGTTGTTTCTTGGCTGGTTTTATGTCTTCTCCTTTGCTTAGCTATCTTCTTCTTGTTCCAGACATGGCTCTTACTCTCTCTGACAGAGCCATTCTGACTCTGAACCCCCATAATACCACGTCCCTGTGTTCTTCACTGGTGGTTGTATGGTGTCATCATCATGAATTTACCCATCTATCTCTCTAGCTAGACTTAATAGTAAACATTGCATAATGCCTGGCACAGAGCAGGTTGTAAATAAGTCTGCTGGATACAGGGGGGATGTGGGATGAATCGCACCTTGAGTGGAGATGGTGCGGATGCCGGCAGGGGGCAGGAGCGGGAGCCTGCAGGTTCTACCCAAGCCAGGCTGCGGCAGCCCTGCTGAGAAGGAGGATCCAAAGGAAAACTACCCTCGGGGGAGCCAGGGCCCAGGGATCCTGGGGACTCACTGCTGCCTGTGGAGCCTGGGCCTGGCTCGGGACTGGCAGAACAGTGGGTGAGCACATACTGCTCCCGGATGTACGATGACTGGAAGATGCGTCGCCATATGGCTGTGTCAGTGGAGGGATTGGGTCCAGGGTCCGTGACGGGGTCTGTCAGGGCATCGGTACCACCTGCTGGGAAGTAGGAGAATGGGCCCCCCCGCCTTGACCCCTCCCACTGCTGTCTCCAACACAGCCACATACATATGCCAGGGCACTCACTCTGCTCTGAGTCCCCAGCAGCCCATGGACTGGACAGCTCTGCTGACACATTGCCTGTTCCCACTGGCTCTGATGTGCCTGTGGGATCAGTGCCAGGGCTAGCGACAGATGGTGCTTCCTCTGGGGATGGGAACACGGAGCCACCCAAGCTCTGCCAGCCAGGCTCTTGGCCCTAGGGGAAAAATTGATGGTAGTTATATACACTATCTCTTTCCAAGCAGGATTTTAAGATGGCTCACAGCAAGAGGTAATGAAGTGAAAGACTAAGGAAACTGCATGCTAACTGTAGGATTAATAGAACTGCTGTGGAGCTAAGCTTCAGGTCTGGCCTCATGCTTCCTGGCTGCCAGGCAAACAATCTATTACATAGCTCTCATAATCAAGAAGGAGGCAGCAGTCCTAGCTTTAAGAAGATACAGCTTTCTGTAAATAATTCTCTCTCCAACTCTTCTCAGGTACCCTACCAAGAACATTTGCGTCCTCCCATTACAACCTATGAAATAGGAAATATTATTTACACAGGAAGACACAGGCTCAGAGAGGCTAAGTGACTCGCCCAAATCAAGTGGCTACTAAGTGGCAGAGCTGGGATTCAAGACCGCACCTATATTAAGCTCATCTGTTACCAAGTATTACAGGAAATGTGTTGGATAATGGTTTCTTTTTGGTAATTCTGGGGATTGAACTCAGGGTCTCTCACTAGCTAGGCAAGCACTACCATGTGAGCCATGCCCCCAATCCATTTGTTTTTCCAGATAGACTCTAGTTTTTGCCCAGGCCAACTTTAGACCATGATCCTCCTACCTCTGCTTCCTGAGTAGTGGAAATTAAAGCCATGATCCACCCTGCCCCACCCAGTGATGCTTTCTATAAGTCACTAAATGAAGTAGTAAGCACCAGTTTTGTGACTGTGTGCTTTAGTGATCTATGGTGAAAACTAAGGGCTGCACTTCTTGAAGACCCCTTGAGTGGGGCAAGATTCAGTTAACCTGAGGGTCCCAGTACAATCTCTGCGGGGCTCATAGAATAGTAAAGGCACTAGGAAGAGATATGAGAAGAAGAAAGATACAGGGACTTCAGCCACCCAGGCCCACCCACAACAGCCCAGCCCAGCCCGGGGGATCTACCCCTGGAGGGCGGGATCGGAAGCCATCCACCCTGAAGAGTGAGCAGTAACCGAGCAGCTGGTCCCCAGGGTAGAGTGCTGGAATCTCCCTGGGTGTCAGCAGTGCCTCCACAGCATCAGGCACAAACCAGTCTACAGAGATGTCGCTCAAAGCAGGTTCCAGTGCCTTCCTCAGAGCCTGCACCAGCTGTTGGGAGTGAGCAGAATAAGACACAGGAGAGGTGTTGCAGCCAAAGAGAGCAAGTGGCTGCCCTTCTCCTGCTGCCTGCTGCCTATCCATTGGGCTGATGGAGAAAAGAGTCTGGCTGGGGAAGAGAAAATGAGGGCAAAGGGACTGAGACCTTAGGTCTGTCTCCTGGCCTGAGCTTTGCCACACAGTAAAGGTGAGACTTGAGGATACAGCTTGGTCCCAGGACATAAGATTTGGAAGGAAGTCAGAGCTAGTAGCTCTATACCTTTGGTCTTAAGCATCCTCCTCCCAATAGCACCAACAGTTCTTACCCTGGTTGGTACCTCAGGGAGAAGAGAAAGTGGAGTAGGGAGAAGTCCTGTTGAGTGTGTCGAGAGGCCTGACAAGGTTTGTTTCTGATCTGATGTGTAACTTGGGAGAATTTCAAGGAGTAGAGAACAAGGCCTAGGTTCAAACTCACGGTGGGCTGCAGCCTCTCCCCAGGCCTCAAGAAGTAGGCCTGGCCCCTGCTGAGGGCGGATAGACTGCGTAGCAGCTGATGGCAGGCAGGCCCCAGCCCAAATGAGAAGCACCTGATGGGGAAAGGAAGAAGTTGTGACCTTCGGGAGCCTCTTGGGGGAGGGGCCAATCTTAGCCACCTAAGTCAGCCCACTCCATACCTGGCTGCCCCCCTGTGCCACCTCATGAGCTCCAGGGCTTGGTGGGTAGTGGCAGCCACAGGTGAGGCAGCAGTGAGCAGGAATAGCTGCCGAGGATGGGCCCTGTGCTGGGGCTGGCCCAAGGCCCAGTCCAGTGCAGCCAGCACATCTGGAGGACCACTCATAGCCTGCAGCATCTCGATGCTCTCACAGATCAGGTGCACGGTGTCCTGGAGACAGAAGTCTCAGGCTGGACCCAGATGGGCTGAAACATCTCCACGAGGTACCCAAAGCCCTGACCCACACTCACATCACTGCAAGCCCGGCTCTCTTGGAAGAGTGGCTGCACCGATGTCCCAATCATGGCCAGGTTGACAAGCGTCTGAGATGGGAGAGACTTCACAGCCAAAACAATGGCATCCTGGAGAGGGCCAGGGAGGGCTGCATGAGGTGGATGGGCACCAAGACACTGGTAGAGAGCAAGGGATGTCAGATTGTTTGCTTTCTCCAGGCCATGATTAATGGGAGACACCCTGTGAAGGTGAGAAAGCCTGTGCACAGTGGGTCCTTGGGAGAATGAGGGAGCCTCTAAGTATATGCGAGACATTTATGTCTGGGACTCTGGAGGTGTGTGGGGAGTGTGAGTCTCTGTAACTGGGTTGCAGAGTGTGACTCTTGGGACTCTAGAAGAGAAATGGGTATGTGTGAGTGTGAGAGAGAGACTGAGAATATATGTGTGTGTCTGTTTAGAGGAAGAGGCAAGACTGCTGAGGAACCTCCCTAAGGAATTGCTGTCTGGTTCCTCTTTGGAAGGTGGTGTGTTAAGCAAGAAGGTGACTTCTGGCTTCTTGCCACCTCAGCCTGCCCAGTCCACTTCAGCCTACTGCCCACACCAAGCCCCACGGGCCTTGTGCGCTGCACTGCTGCCATCCAGCAGGAAGAGGAGCTCCCGAGTAGCTGTGCCCAGGTGTCCAGGCTTGGAACTCAGGTCCGGGCAGAAGCTCAGTACCAGCACAGGGTTCAGCAAGATGTCCTTGTGGAATCGTCGCTGCAGGAACCACACCTGAGCATGGGAACCTTAAGTCAACCTAGGCCAGGCTTAATGTAGCTCTGTCCAGACTGGACAGTAGGACACAGCCCTGGGGTCTTTTCCTATCTGGTTCATCCAGAAGGAGTTCCTTTTTGTAGTAATCTGAAGAAAAGCAAGTAGCTGTCATCAGAATTAGCCTCCATCCCAGAGGGATGACACTAGCCTTCCTGTGACAATATTCATCTGCCCTCTCTGATAGTGGGGGCAGCTATTGAGAGGCTGTGAATAGAGGCCTCCCCTCTTGACATGAGCTTGCCCACCTGCTCCTCATGCACAGTTGCAGCCAGCATTGAGGCCAGAGGTGCAGCCAAGATCCCATGCAGCCATACCTGCCGGTCCCCATCACTGTCCCTCTGCTGTAGCCTCTGGAAATCCCGGCGGGCCCTCACTCGGGCCTCATACTCTGCTGAACTCAGACTGCCAGCCTCCAGCATCAAGTGTGGCTGATGGGGCTCTGAGAAGAGTGGACAGAGCTCTGTCAGGGGAATCCCTATCTCTGGGCCCCAACCTTCCAGTTCCTCTGTCTTAAGAGGACCCTGAAGGTCCAGCCTCCCTGCACCACAGTGCCCAACCTCACAGGTGGTGACTGTCCATCTTGCCTGGGGCCCAGAAATCTATACTTGAAAACTGTGTTGCAGGTCATTCCTAAGCAAGTCAGAGCTGGCCCACTGTGTGCCCCAGTCTCTCACCACTGGGGTACAGCAGAATCTCCAAGGCCCGGTCACATTGGTGGCCCTCTGCCAGAGTGACACAGATGGTGGCAGCAGAGCTGGCATGAGGGGGAGCATCTGCCCGCAGAGCATGAGAGGGGCTCTCCAGGCCTGAGGGACAGAGAAGCAAAGAGGGGGGAATGGTCACCTCACCCCAAGCCAGTACTAAGAACTCAGACATCGCCTTCCTGGGTAATGGTGGCTGTGGGCAGGGATTATGCTTGACTCAACTCAGCTTTCAGAATCTGGTCTATAAAATCAGATGGACACTGGTTCCCAGCTCTGTTCCTGGCTGGTCAAAGTGTTACACATCAACCAATTTGCATCCTCCCCCACCTTTTACACAAAGGAAAACCAGTTCATCACTTGGACTGATCCTATTATAAATCTCTCTCTTGCCATTGGTGAGTGGAATGGAATACAAATAAGTTACCTTAAAACACAAGCTGTTGGGGGCGGGGGTGCTGTAGGGTAGAAATGGCCCATTAGAGGTTCCTAAGACTTAGGTCCCTGACTTCCTTTTGGCCTTTGTTCCTCCCATTGTGAACCTTGGATTATTTCTCAGTCTGCTGCACTGGGAGGAGTAGGTCAGGCCAGTCCAGATGTACCCACCTGCCAGCAGGCATGGCCCAGTCACCAGCATCTCGAAGGAGAAGCTATATGGGGCAGGGCAGCGGGCAGGGCCCGAGAACACGTCCGGAGGGGTAGCTGGCTCCTCCCAGGCCAGCCCTTCCTCCTGAGGGCTGCCTGCCCCGAAGCAGCTGGTGGGGCTGGAAGGGAGTATGAGGAGGGTCACTGGGCCACTGTGAAGCCCCAGCCCCTCTGGCTCACTGGCCCCCACCCTTCCTCACCCTGTCCATCCCCCGGGGCATCCTGCTGAAGCCCCCTCACCCGCACTACACCTAGAGAAGCCGAGGGAGGGACGAAGAGAATCACCATAGGCCCAACCTGTCGTCACAGAGCCCCGGAGGCCTGGGGGGCCCTGGCGGGCCTGGTGGGGCCAGTGGGGTAAGCACGGTGGGCAGGGCCACACGCAGCACCCCATCAGGCCGGGAAGGCAGCTCCTGGCTGCTGCACAGGGTCACTGTCATGGTGCCAGCCGCAGCAATGAGGCCCGTGGGCAGTACCAGCGTGGACCGAGCCTGGGCCAGATCCAAGACAAGATGACCTATGATGAGCAAGAAAAGAGGTCACAGGGACTGGGGGAAAACAGAGATGGGAGCGGGCACTAATCAGGAAGCCTGGGCAAGAGGGATTTTGCGTGGTTGGTGGGACACAAGATGGTGATGCACAATGGGGACACGAGGCAGACGATGGTAGGAGAGTCAGGTCTATCACAGAGGGATTTGGCTGTCATCAGCAAGGAAGCAGTGGCATCATGACTAATGGAGGACCAAGGAAAGGGGGCATATCCATTCCCAAGGTTCTGAAAGTTCCACACCCTCTGCCTCTCTCTCCCTGCCCCCTCCCCTTCAATCTTCAAGCATCATCACCTAAAGGACTCTCCTTTGTGGACTGACACCTCCCTCTAGCCCAGGATCCATTCTGCTCACAAACTCTCTGCTCATGAATGCCCACTAGTATGGATCCAGAAGTTTCTACCTTGGAGCAGCTTAAGGGCAGCAGTCTGCTTGGAAGTAGACTAGAGAACATAGAACTCACGTGCATACACAGATTGTAGGTTTATTGTAGGACTGGTGGAGTTGCAGTACAGCACTACTGCTGGGTGGGTACACCTCCTGCAGGGTCTGACCTCAGCCCTATCGTACCTCATTCCCCCACAACAATCATCTGTTCATCCTTTCAAGAAACACTTGCTGAATAGATGAAGGGAAGAAACAGATGGAAGGCAAGGAAAGAAGGAAGGTAAGAAAGAGGCTTCTGTCTCAGCCAGCTGAGGCCTGATACAGTGGAGAAAGAAGTGTCAGTTTTCCAATCTCAGCTCTGACTTCTAATTGTTATCATTTGACAATAATCCTTTTAGGAGCCTCAGTTTCCTCATCCATAAAATGGATATAATAACTGTTATCTCAAAGATTGTGGTAGGGAATAAATGAGATAATATATGCAAATTATTTTCATCACCTATAAAAGGGAGAGAGGGATCAGCACACATTACATACCTCTCACCTCCCAGATTCAATTGAAGTGACACCAGGCCTGGGCTTTGTAAACTGCAAATCACTAAATATGAGGTGCTGTATCACCATTACCCAGTATAACCTACTTGCAGGCCTTTTTTTAAATTCCATTGCCCCTAACCCTACATTCACCAAGTCCTACAGTTCCTTTCACTGAAATGCTGGTTACTCCTTCTGGAACATCCTGGGGCCTAGCCCAGAGCTCTCTCTTTAACCACCTGCTGGGCTTAAGTCAACTCTCCACACCACTGTATCCTGTCCCTTTTCTTACCTGGATGGTAAGTCCCAGGGGGCAGGAATCAAACATATGAAGACTTAATGAAAGCACGAAGCACAAGCCACAGAACCTAGCACAGAGCCGGGCTTTCATCTCCTCCCCCAGCATTCACTGGGTTCTTTCGTGCCAGTTTCTGTGTGAGATGCTGGGACTTGGGAGGTGACCAAAACACAACCTTAAGCTCAGGAGCTAATGCTGCAGAGGGAGAGACAGACATGGCTGACCATGACAATGACTCCCCCTAGAAAGTCCTGTAATGATGTGGTTCAAAAGGCTGGGAAGCAAGCAAAGCTGCAATCAAATATTTGTGTAGGAGTAAGGAAGATTTCCCAAGGTGACATCTGAGTGGATCTTAAAGAACACACAAGTGCAAGTGTGCTAGTTAGAACATGGGAAGCTAGAGCAAGGAAGTGTAGAGGGACCTGTCAGTGTGACTGGAGGTGTGTGGGGGAAGTAAGGATCTGGGGCCATGAGCCTGTTTGAGGAGGTGTACCCTATAGGATAAGGGGCAGCAAGGAGTCAGAGTATGTATGAGGGTATGAGGTGTGTGTGTGTGTGTGTGTGTGTGTGTGTATGAGAGAGAGAGAGAGAGAGAGAGAGAGGGTGGGTGCTCCCTTTGTCACAACCTGGAGAGACTACGTTCCCTTGGGCAGTAAGGGCCGGTGGCTCCAGCAAGCTTTGTGCTGCCTGCCAGGTAGGGGCAGGCCTGGGCCAGGTGCCCAGTCCACGACTGTTGGATAAAGGGATGAATCAATTAATGGAAAAAAAAAAATCAGTGCCTGGAGGAGGAAGGGGGAGGGGCGGCGGCAAGGCGGATGCGGGAACCTGAGCTTCGGCAGGCATTCAGCAGTTCGGGCTGGAGGCGCGCGGGACTTACCCTGCGCGCAGCGGCGGGGCGTAGAGGTTCCCAACCCGGGGCCCAGCGCGCGGCAGCAGGCAGCTTGCGAGCGCCGTCGGTTCTGCAGCTGGAAGGAGACGCGCCGTCCGGCCGCCTCGGCCTCGAAGCCGGATACGACCTCGGCTTCAGCCAACGGGTACACGAACACTCCTGCGGGGAGAGGAGGCAGGAGGAGGCGTCGAGCCCCGCCTGGAACCCGCGCCCGCCTCCCTGCGCCCGCGCTCGCGCCAAGCCTTACCGTCCACCGGCTGCGGCTGCGGGTTGTGGTAGGTGAGCCGGGCCCGCAGGCTGAGGCAAGGTCCATTAGCGCAGGCCCGGACCCAGGAGTCCGTGAGGGGTAGCGGCGTCCAGCTGGAGGGGCAGTACAAGCCGGGCATCGTGCCAGGAGGTGGCCTGCGGGAGCACGGTCTAGATGATGCGGTGCGCGGGGGAGCGCGGGCACCCCACCCGCACTCCTTAAAGCCAGTTTCCAGAGGCTAACTCAGGCCCCCGCGCGCGCGCCTGCAGGGGGCGCAAGGCTGAGCAGGGGTGTCCCCCCCACACACACGCCGAGGCGGACAGGTGGCGAGGGGAGATAAGAACGGGAGGCGCAGGGATGGCGAGATGGACATCCTCACCCGTTACCTGGGAAGCCGGGGCTGAGTGCAGCTCTGGGCAGCGCTGGGACCCGGGGAGCGGAGGGTTAATGATTAACCAGCGCTCGGGGCGCCCAGCAGTCCCGCCGCCGGCTCCTCTGGGGGTGTGGGGAGGGCGATCACAGCTGCTCCATCGCCAGCTCCTGGGCCTCACCGTCGCCCCCGTACCTGCCGGCCCCCCAGGGCTCCCCGCGGCTGCCAGCTGTCGGAAGTGGCGCAGGTGGAGAGATGGAAGATGCTCTGGGTGGAGAGCAAAGGTTTAAAGGGCCAGCATTCTCCCAGGTGTCCCCCAGCCCAGCAAGGGACAGCAGGGGTGGGGTATGACAAGGAGCAGAAAGGACTGCAGTCTTTATCTCGCTCCTGCCCGATCTGACCCGAGCTCTGAGAGGGGCTGCAGACCCGCGTGGAGAGGTCGGAGTAGGAAAAACAAGATAGGGAAACAACAAAAAAAAAAAAAAGGCGGGGGGAGCTCAGACCGGGAGAAGTGTCGCAGCAGAGTGAGTACATGCGATCCGTCCAGCGAACCTCTCCCCACCCTGGCAAAGCTGATCTGGGAGAGGAGGGCTGCTGCAGTCGCGGCTCCACTGGGGATGCTGCGGGCTGGGTCTTGGGATCACCACCCTCCCGCGGGCAGCCCCAGCCTCACCGTCGTTCCTCCGCGGAGTGCCAGGCGTCGCGACTGGACCAGGAGGGGTGTTGCCGCCTCTGTGCTCTGGGCCTCACTCGGTCCCTGCACCTGCGGGGCGACGGCTCAGGACTCCCGCTGAGGTCGCTGTGAGTCTGTGCTGGGGCGCCGGCCCAGCTGCTGGTGACCCCGCCCCCGTGCCGGGAGCCCGCCCCCCCAGTCCGCCTCGGCCCCGCCCACTGCTGCGGCGGGGCTGCCGCTCTTTCTCGGGTGCGGTGCCGCCTCCGCGCCAGCCCCTGCCGCCAGAGCCAGGCAGGACACTGCAGTGCAGGGACCGCGTCCCCGTCGCCGCACAGCCCCCATCCGTGCGGGACTGAGGCCTCCTCGACCCCACCCCTTCCACCCTGCAGACGGTGAGGCGTCCTGTGTGTGCAGCAGAGCCGCTCTGTCTTCAGCCCCTAGCATTGCAGCGACCCCAGCCATCCTAGCGTCACCTTACCCAGCTCACCTATTGCCCGCCCGGGGGAGGCTTCCCATCTCTGCAGTGTCTCCCCACTCCTCACTGCAGTGAAACCCAGCGCCCATCACCGTAGGACTTTCCCCCACCCCCAAGCTAGCCCCTCTCCTTAAGTGTCCCTAATTACTGCAAAAAATCTCCCCCTTCCCTGCAGGGAAGCCTTCAAGCTCGCGTGGCAACTCACTCCAAGCGAGGTTCCCCTCCATCGTTTCAGCGATTCCCTCACCCAGAATCAGCCAACCCTGTCATCACTGCAGTGTCATCCACCTATTTTTGCTGGGGGTGGGAGAGGGGCTTCACTCGAGCCATTAGTGAAGCCTCCAGCCTTCTCTGGGCTGCAGACTGCCCCTGTCGTAGCAGTGACCCCACCCACCACTGCAGCACCTCAATAGAAAACGTCTGTCCCTTGTTGTTGGCAGAATTTTCATGTGTTTGACAGTGTTCCACCACAACAGATTAGGAAAGTCGGTAAGATCTCCCAGGACCCCACGAGAATCTGGGGAAGTGAGGGGAGGTGAACATGTTTAGTGGCTACCTCATACGGATGTCACTCAGATTCTGCAAAGAGCCATTGAGGAGAGATGTGGGCTGGGGCAGCCAGTGTGGAGTAGGTTCTCTCCCCCCACCCATTAACTCCTTGCCTTTTTATTCCAGTAACCATCACCATACTGCTCTCTTGGGACCCCCTGCCTTCCTGAGCACCTGAGCCCTCAACCCCAACCCTATTCCCTGCTTAAACCACTTAACATGACAGAGATAGCTTGGCCTTTCCCCAGGAAACTTCAGGGTGGAAATGCACAGATGCTGTCACATTGATGGAGTCCACAAGGAGCTCCAGCTGGGTCCCAGCTCTTCTTTCCACACTTTCAGAGCCACAGTTCCATTGATCCTCTCCTCCAACTGGACATAAACCATGGGGCTGAGGATCCCTTCAAGATGATCTAGGATCCCAGTCAAAACTAGTCCTGGCCTCAAGGACCCCATGGAGATCTAGGTAATGGACACTTCCTCCAGGTGCTTTATGTTCTTCAGCTTTTGTAAATGAACCAAGAGCTGCAAGTGGTCCTCAGGCCAAACATGAGGTTGCAGGAAGCAGTTCTTTCTGGGGATCGTTGAACATAGAAATGGAAAAAAGAGGCCCTGTCTTTGGCCCTGAGCAGAGCTTGGATATAAAGCAGTCTCCCTAGGACACCACACACACACACACACACACACACACACACGCACATGCACACACACACACCACCGCCCCACACCCACAGGCAGAGCCGCACTTGGGAAGGCTGCCTTAGTGGAGGCAAACCCGGGCAAACTTAGGACAGCAGCTCAACAAGAGGCCTAGAGCTTGCTGCAGGATGAGGTAGGCCAATGCAGGCTGCCTGGCTTCTCCTGGTGGGAATAGCAAAAAGGGTCTCTGAGGCACAGCTGGAAGGCACTTTGGTGGTGGGGCGGCAGGACGGCAGCTGAGGGTAAGCGGGAACAGCACAGCCTTGGAGGGCCCTTTCAGGAGCCAGTCTCCAGGAGGTGAAGGAAGTCTGAGGTAGCAGCAGGGGATGGCTGGGCTTTGGAAGTCTGCTCCGTTAGACCAGAGGAGGGGGTGGGAATATGGAGCTGAAAAGACTGGTTCACACCGAGTGAAAAGGGCAAACACTGTCACAGTGGATTGAGATAAGTGCTGCATTACAAAGGAGTAATGAATGTTATAAAAGCTTTTAACCAGGAGCTTGCAGGAGGGGCCCAAAGGGGAAGGTGATTCAGGCAAAGGGAAATCATGGAAAGATGAGAGACAGCCTATGAAAAGATGAGAGAAAGGCAGAAGGATTTGGAGTTCAAGACCAACCTGGACCACTTAGTGAGATCTTCCTGCTCCAAAAAAAAAAAAAAAAAAAAAGTAAGAAAGGTGAGAGAGCCAGAGGGACTAAGGAAATTACAAATAGGAATCATTTGTGTACACATAAGATGAGCCAAGCACTGTAGTGAGCATGGATTATCTCACTTAATAATCGAAACGGGCTGAGGGTACAGCTCAGTGATGGAGTGCTTGCTTATCACCAAAAAAAAAAAGAAAAAAAAGCAAATAAATAAAAACCACCCTAAAAGGTGATACTATTATTATTTTACAGATAAGAAAACCCACGCCCAGAGTTAAGTAACTTGTTCATCACAAACTATTGAAGTGATATAGCCAAGATAGTAAATTCAGATGCTCTTGAGACAAAAGGGCTCCTGGAAACGTCCATCATGAGGTGAGCCTCTAAGGTCTGCTGGCTCACAAGGGGTTGTGGAGGTACATCTGGCAACTTCATAGGTCATGGAGGAAACTTTAGAGGTATGGGAGGTAATTTTGGCCAGGATGGAAACTGGTGAAAGAGGAGGTGATGGTGGTGGAGGTGGTGGCAGTCAAGGTAGTTATGGATCCAGTGGTGGCTATAATGGATTTGGAGGTGATGATGGCAGCTATGGCGATGGTCCTAGTTACGGTGAGAAGGCTATGGCAGTGGTGGATATGGTGGTTATGGAGGACAGGATGGTTACATTGGGAGGAAATTTTGGTAGTGGTGGGAACTATAATGATTTTGGAAATTATAGTGGGCAACAGCAATCAAATTGTGTACCCGTGAAGGTCAGTTTTGGTGGAAGGAGCTCTGGCAGTCCCTACGGTGGTGGTGATGGATCTGGTGGTAGAAGTGGTGGATATGGTAGCAGGAGGTTTTCAAAACAACAGAAAGAACTTTGATTCTTACTAGGAGAGACGGAGCGAGGAGTTGTTGGGAAAGTTTCAGGTACTTGGAGACAGTCGTCCCAGAAGCATTAGAAGAACTGTAGAAGGAACGGTAGGTAGTCCACAGTCAGAAAAGGTCCTGCTGCTTACATGGAAACCCTTCTTGTGCAGGACTGGCATCACCCCAAGCTTGCAAAAAAATAGGGCAGCTGTTGCTTGATCCATTGTAGTGTGGATGAGATATGCATTTCTGAGGTCTTTTATCTGTTGTTGCTTTGACTGTCTTTTTTTTTTTTTTTCATTACATCACGTATATTGCCCTACTAATTCTGGTAGTGCACTGTGGCTCACGCCTATAATCCTAGCTACTCAGGAGGAAGAGATCAGGAGGTTTGTGGTTGGAAGCCAGCCCCAGGCAAATAGTTCTCAAGACCCTATCTCAAAAAAAAAAAAAAAAAAAACCCTCACCAAAAAAGGGCTGGTGGAATGGCTCACAGTGTAGGCCCTGAGTTCAAGCCTCAGTACCACAAAAAAAAAAAAAAAAATTCTGGTAGTGGTGCTGGGAATAAAAAAAATTTTAGAAGGAAATGGTACATGCTTTTATTTTTATTTTGTATTATCATATTGTTGTCCTGAGGGTACATTGTGACATTTACAAAAGTTCTTACAATATGTCATATTGAATTCACTCCCAAAGTTAAGGAATTTTTAACTTAAAAATATACGTGATAGGGCTACAGGCATGGTTTAAGTGGGGTGTAACACCTGCTTAGCACACACGAAGCCCTGAGTTCAAACCCTAGTACCTCCAGTATATGTGTAACATGACATAAAATTTATTGTTGGTGACACTTAGCACATTCATAATTTTGTGCAAC